TCTAAAAAACTTTGCTCACATACTTCAGATAATCGCCTCAACTGCCCCAGAACCAGGCTGGATTTGCTCCACACAATAGGTCTCTTCAAGCCTCACGGCTCCTGTGGCTGTGGTTGTAGAGGGAGTTCATTTTGTATCATGTGTCTAAGCCACATCCACTAAAGGACGACTTGCATTCTGCTCTTCTGGAAAGATAAATTTTAATATAATTTTAAGTAATTGTATACTTATCTGTGCATTCACCTAGCAACTAAGAGCTCTTTCAACTTTACAGAAACTGGGGAATGCATTCTAGATCTGGGGGACTGCTGCCAATCTCTCACAATCCATCAGGTGCTACCACAGCTCTTGAAGGCTCTTCTTCCCTAAACTGGGTGCTGAATGTGGTGTTCCCGCTTCCTTCCTCTCTGATGCCTTAGCCACAACACAGACTCTTTTCATTATAAGGAATTTATTTCTAATCACCATGATAGAGGTTTCAAAACAAAAAACAACTAATATACAGGAGACTAATATACAGGAAAGTTCCCACCATCTTGAAAAGCTATTTACGCTTGGCACCCCCTGAGACCAATCTGAAGCCCTCATTAATAGCCACAGCAGTGTTGTACAGAGGGCGGAGACTAAATCAACACAAGCTATGGCCTGCCCTTATGGAAATTCCTTGTTCATGGGGAATAATTGCAGTCCTTGATCCCCATCGCATATTGGCTTCAATGGTACAGTGTAGGCACATACTGCCAGCCAGTATACAGCCCTAGACATCAAGGGATCATTGCCCTGAGCTGGTATCTGGCAGTTGGTTAGATTCTGTTTTTATTTCAGAAATTCAAATTCTCTGAATTTCCAGCTTCTTTCTATTCCAGGCTTCCTGGAGACCAGACAGACCCCCTTCTTTTAGAACAATAGATTTCACTGGAATTCCAAATAATCATTTTCCTAAAGTGCAGGTTTTTTTAAAATTCTGTCTTTCCCATCTTTGACAAGACACGAGGTGGATAGAAGTCCAGCAAATTATATTTGTTGATGGGTACTTTTAAAACTACGTTGGCCGACTTCACTTTGAGATTTCCTTCAGTACAGATTGGAGGACTTGTTGCTTTGTTGTTCCAAGGTTGCCTGAGTAGCCACACTATTAGGTTCCCCATCTGTGGCTTGATAGAAAACAACATTGTTTAGCAGTCTTGACACAACTGCAGGGTGATGGCTACAGCCTGCCTTTGTAAGCAGGAGGCAGAGGCATTCGCTATATTGTTTCTGAATGTTGGCATAAATGTGGTCCTGCCCTGAGATCCTTTAGATCTCAGGAGTAGATAGGGGAGTGTAATGCACTCCATGGAAAACAGACAGGAGGACTCTTAACAGATGGGAAAAGGGTTACCCGCACAGCAGGGGGTGAGCCTGGATGTGGGTACCATAGCAACCCACTGAGAATTATCCTTCGAATTAATGGAAGGTTGGATTCACTAGGTCTGCCAGTGCCGGGAACCTGGCTGGGTCTTTGTCAGTCAACAGAAAAAGATTGGTTTTCAGCTGTATGATTTGACAGTCTGGTTGTATTCAGACAGCTCTATGCTGTGGAGATGACATTACTTCTACATCACACTGCATGTATGTATATAAACTAGTGGCATGGTGAGGAGGGAGGCAGTGGGGGTGAACCCCACCCCAACATGTGGGCCAGGAACAGTGAGTGTGTGTATGCGTGTGTGTGTGTGTTTGTGTATAGCATTTAAAAAAAATAAGTCTGGGGCCTCCCTTGTAGTACAGGGGGTTAAGCTCCGCACTATGAGGCAGTCCGCAGCCTCTGCAGCATGAGTTCGATCCCCGGCTGGCCAGGGAGCAACCCACATGGCACAGCAGACCTCTCCTGTCTCGCCTGCTGCTCCCCTCAGCAGTGTACTTCAGTCAGTCCGCCTATTCTGTTCCCCACTCTGTCTCTGGTGAATCCTCTCACCCCCCACACCTCTGGCCTGTGCTCCAGCTTTTGTATGCATAAATAAATAAAAAATCTTTAAAAAAATGTAAGTCTTACTAAAAGTCAGTTTACTTTTTATTATTTTCATGCTCCAACATTCCAAACAATGTCAGTGATAAAATACTTTTTGTTCATAGAGGCAGATTTCTCCTATGCCCTTCGCACCCCCAAACCCCTTTGGTACACCACTGGGATAAATGAGCACCAGGTGGGAAAAGTATGATTTGACAAGAGGGTAAATAGAAAACAAATGACTCTGAGATAAGATTAAATAAATTTTTATCCCCAAAATTCCCCTAAGTTTAAAAGTGATCTGTATGCTATGAACCTCTCTGTTGTTTAGCTTTGTGTTTTGGTTACCAATTGCTGCTTTTAAAACCATCCCAACATTTCATGCCTTAAAACAACAATCATTTACTTGCTCATAATTCTGCAATTTTGGCAGGGCTCAGTAAGACTGGCTCTTCACTGTTCCATATGGTGTCTGCTGAGGTTGGAACTTCCTAAAGGACTTTTTTTCACTGGTATGTCTGGTACTTCAGCTGGGATGAGTTGAATAAAGAGAGGCCATCTCTCCATGTGGCCTCTCCACTTAGCTGTCTTGGGCCTCCTCACAGCTGTTTGGTCTCTTCTTATGTGGTGGCTGGGTTTCCCCACAGTGTAAAGCAGAAGCTGTCCGTCTTTCTTAATGCATAGTCTTGGAAGTTCTAGAATATTATTTCTGCCACATCCTATTGATTAAAGCAGTCACAGGGCCAGCCCAGATTTAAGGAGAGGACAGACTCCACTTCATGGAGATATTGCTGTGACCATATAGAAACACCATATAGAAAATCACATGGTTTTCTCTTTGTTAACAAGATATTGTATGCTTTCACATCTTACCTTTAACATTGATAAACCTTTTTAAGCTGGGAAAAGATAGGTCTCAATTTGACTTTTTAAAAATTAGATCCTTATAATTATCATTATGGATGATCTCTTTGTGGATTCCTAAGAGATTACAGGACTCCTAAAATAGCAATGATGTTAGAGCAAAATTATTAGGATGAGCCTGATCTGTCAAGATCCAAAATCCCAAGCATGTTCAATTCTATGAGATTGTCTAGTTCACAAGTTACAGCCTTGGTCTGCCTAAGAAAAAGTCTAGTGGCCTCCATATTTTGGTAATTGCTGCCAGAGTACCGGACAATGTCCTGCACTTTGATTTACACACTTTAAAACCAGTATTGTTGGCCATGAAAATGGATAGGATTCTTATTAGAGAATGTGAGTCTTTTAGATACTGTAATGTATACCTGTTGAAGGTTGCTGTAAATTTCACTGAGTCAGAGAATTGTACCTCAGTCTAAACAGGACCCACATGAGAGCAGATGTGCATCAACATGACTCCCTCGCCTTTGCCAGACGATGAATCCATCTACAAGGGCATACAGCTTTGCTTTGGAAGCACTTGCAAGCCCACTGTCTCATTTTCTCCTCACTATAAATAACTGGGTGAGCAGGTAGGCCCTGTGTGGATGCCCAGTTTGCAGTCATATAAACAACAGAAGAGGGGTTATAACCTCTCTGGGTCCCAAGAGAGCTTAGAGGCCGATCCACAGAAGTAGTTCTCCTAGCTCTTCTTCCTCCAGGGTTCTTCTGTTCTGCCGGCCGAACAGAGGGGCCTCAAGTTCCCTGACAGTTGTTTTCAGGCCCGTTCTGATGGCCTCTTCAGCCTCCTGAGCCTGTTGGCAAGTTGAGTCAGCTTCCAGTATCAGTTACGTGTGAGGTGGGGCTCGTGTGAGGTGGGGCTCGTTCTAAAAGGGCGTTTGGGTGGGCCTGCAACAGGGTGGTCCCCAGGAAAGGGGGAGGTTCCAGGTTGGAACCTGGAACCTGGTTCCTGGTTGGAACCTGGAACCTGGTTCCTGGTTGGAACCCCCCCCTTTCCTGGGGACCACCCTGTTGACCTGGCAGGTCCCTGGAACCTCCCCCTTTCCTGGGGACCACCCTGTTGACCTGGCAGGTCCCTGGAACCTCCCCCTTTCCTGGGGACCACCCTGTTGACCTGGCAGGTCCCTGGAACCTCCCCCTTTCCTGGGGACCACCCTGTTGACCTGGCAGGTCCCTGGAACCTCCCCCTTTCCTGGGGACCACCCTGTTGACCTGGCAGGTCCCTGGAACCTCCCCCTTTCCTGGGGACCACCCTGTTGCAGGCCCACCTCCCCTGTGTCAGCGTCCCAGACTTTCCTTCCCAAGAAGGAAATTAGGCCTGCTTTGAGCACCACGTCTAGGGTTATCCCCCTCCGTGGTCTCAATGAGGCTCTGGGGCTCTTTGGCTTACCCCACATCCAATGCCCTAAATTTTCCTCTCAGGAAAAAAAAAAAAGATGTTTTGTGTCCATTTGTGCCCCAAACCCTAGGCTCATTACTCGGCCAAAAGCGCCTCTGGAGTCGGGACTCTGGTTCCCAACCGTCTAGTCCTTCCTCACGCCCCAGCCGGGTCCCACTTTGGGTCGCCCCCCGCCTTCCTCTCCCCTCACCCCGCCCCCGTCACCCCCTGGAGCGCCCCAGCCGGCTCCCCCGCCCACCGCCTCTTGCCCTCCCTTCCCTTCCCTCCCTTCCCTTCCCCCCGCTCGCCCCTCTTCTCCGCTCGCGGCGCCCCGGCTTTTGTTGCCCGGGCTTGTTTCTAACCCGAGCGCGTCGCCGGCCGGGCGCCAGGTCACGTGCGTTGGTGACAACCTCTCGCAGGGCGGCCCCGGGGCCCCCGCGCCGCCGATTGGTGGGGCCGCGGCTGGCGCGGGCCGGGCCGGGCCGGGGCGGGGCGGCGGGAGGGCGGGCCCGCGGGCGGGCGGGCCGGGCGGCGATCAGCTGTTCCGAGCGCCGCACAACAACAAAAGGAGCGGGACTGGCCGGCCGCCGCCAGCGGCGCAGCTTCGGGAGGGCTGCCCGGCCCCGCGCCCCGCTCTCCGCGCCCGCCGCCCCGAGGCCGCAGCTACCTCAGCCGCCCGCGCCCGCGCCCCCGCCGAGCGCGCCCCCGCCGAGCCCCGCGCCCCGGCCCCGCGGCAGGTCCGGCCCACGTAAGTGCGGGGCAGGGTGGGCGTCCGGGCCGCTCGCGCCGACCCGGTCCCGCGGCGCAGCTGCGCTCGGCGCCCGGCCGGCCCCGAGGCTCCGGGGGGGCGCCCCGGCGCTTCCTGCCTCCTCGGCGCGCCCCGCCTCGCCGCGGCCCGGCCGCCCGCCCGCCGCCCTCACGGCCGCCCTCGGGGACCCCGGGGTCCCCCCGAGGCGGACACGGGCCGGGCCGAGCCCCGGCGCTGGGCGGCGGTTGGGTGTTTGGTTTCTTCCTCCCCCCGCCCCGAGCGTGGCCTGTTTTCTTGGCCGCAACGGAGCCTCCTGTCTCTCCTCCTCCTCGGTCCCGTCCGCTGCTCTCGCTGCCCCGAGCCGTTGGGCCAGGGCTGCGGCGGGGGCTTGGCCTGGGGGTCCGCAGGCCGGGAGCAGTGGCCACGCTCGGGGGTGTGCCCTCTAGTGAGCGGCCCGGAGGCTTCGGCCTCCCCCGCCGCCGCCCTGCCCCCTGCCCCCCAGCCCCCCTGCCCCCCAGCCCCCCTGCCCCTCGCCCCCTCCACCAGTCCTTCTGGTCCCGCGCACCCTGGGCCTCCGGGAGCCTCGTGTGTCCTGCCCCTCCCCCTCCCTGTGCCCCCCGAAGTGCCCACCTGCCTGCTGCGTGTTCCTTGACTTTGCTTGATCTTACACACGCTATTTGATGTGACACCTGTGGAAAGAGCACTTTATTTACCCACCAAAATTTAATTCCCCATCATTTGGACCTCTCACATTGATTGAGCTCCAGTAAACTGACCAGGGCTTTGCTTGCGTTCTCTCTTGAAGAGGCTCACAGTCACCCCGTGAGGCAGGCCTTGGCATTGGATGGATGGGACACCGAACCCAGAAAGATTAAGTAATTTACGCAAGGAGACACAGCCAGTTGAAAGGAAATGGTGTTTTCTCTCTCATAGTGACAGATGAATGTTACTTGGGAATTCCCAGTTATTGTTGTGTTTCCTGATTATGTCTGTTCATCTTCTATGTTAATTTCCATTTAGAGTCGATTAAGGAAGAGCCCCTTTCTGTCTGTAACTTCCAAGGACTTGAGCATCCGTTGCTAGAAGGGCCTTTTCTTAAAACAAAGTAGTTTCGGAAAAATAGGCTGGGAGGACGGCAGAGTGACCCTGGAGTCATTGAACAGAACTAATAATGAGGGCCCCAAGATCCTGAAACCAGTTGCTTAATACCTGAAATACATTTGTCACTGCAGATGTGAAAGCACTGGGAAGCTTTGATTGTAAATTCCAGCCACTATAATGGTGAGCTGGTAGCATCATTTTCAAAGGTCTCGGGACCTTACTAATTTCTGTGACCAAGGTCTCTTGTTTTTTTCAAACCATCTTTTGTTCTTTTATGTAATTGCTTTCTCACATTTTTCCTGGAAATGGCCCTACTTTCAAAATGCACTTTTAAAAAGCGTTAACTTACTGTCTTTGTCCATTGTCATTTAGTCTTCTCTAAGACAGTAGTGGGTTCTTGGGGGAATCACCCCCTTGATGCTATTTAAATAGACTGGATCAAAGTAGAACAAGCAGAGACAACTTTCTTGGCTTGGTTTTCCTGCAGTTGAAAATCCATTTTAAATTATTTGCATCAGCATATTTTTCTAAACCAGTGAGAGGGTGAGATATAAAAAGAAAGAAAATTTGAGGCCTCTTTTCAACAAAGATGTGTTAGTTTAGCCACCTGATATTTCGAAACTGAAGAAGCCACAACTGTACACAGTTAGAAGTTAGATCATCAAAGTTGTGGGTTGTTTTTTTAATTTAAAAATGTTGTTTTTGGAGCCGCCTACTGGCAGCCAAAACTAACTGAAACACACTGTTCTCAGAAGTTCCCAGAGCCAAGGCTGAGGCTTGAGATCCTGTGCCTTAGAGAAGCAGAAAGATCATGTGCAGGGAAAAGCAGTGCCGACCCCACCCCTGACCACTCATCACTTTTTAGCAAGTTATTTAATTTCTGAGTCTTAGTTTCCTTATTAGTAAGATGGGACCTGTAAGTACATATAATAAACATTCAGTAAATTGTGGCTTTAACTATTACATGAACATTTTGTAGTAAAGATGCTCAGACCTCAAGATGCTCAGTGCCTTATTCACAATCACGCAAATGACTTTGAACTTTAATATTCCAAGTTATAGTTAATATTCTCAGTTCATATTTATTGGGTCCCTACTATGTGTCAGGCATGGTCATCCCCATTTTAGGGATACAACACAGAAGCAGCAAGAAGTTACTAATTATCTTAAGTTCATACAAGTTGCCAGTAGTGAAACCAGGAGATTTCACACAACACAGACCAACTGCAGAGCCGTACTTCCTGTTGGTTGGTTGCCTGTCTCAAAAACCAGAAAATAAACTACTGACAGCTCTTCCAGAATAGCAGTACCTTTCCTAAGTTCTCAAAATAGATTGTTTTTTCCTCACATGCATTAGACTCAGCCACCTTTCTTTGCCCATGGGGCATTTCTAACCACTGTAATAGTATGAAAAACATTCATGAGAAAGTGTCAACAAAACAGGATACAAAATTGTGTATTTAGTAGACCACAACTATGATAAAAAGAAACATATGTAGAAGAAAATGTAAGAAAATATGCTAGTGTACTAACAAGGATTGCAACAATAATTGTAATCATTGAGTAATAACTTCTAAATTTTCTATATCATGGTTTTGTTCACTTTGTAGTAAATAGGACATTTTTAAAGGGAGCCAAGCAGAACAAGGACAAAATTGCCTTTGTGACACTTTGTTTCTTTTCTACCTTGGTGAGACTACTTGGCTAGGCTTAGGTACCCTGAAACCTTGCAGATCCCTCCAAGAACAGCCTCTGTCCCACCTAACCATCTTTGCCTCTACTTCTTTGCCAAGTTTCAGAACTGCATTTGTAAATTGTCCTCTTCAGACATGTAGAAGTTTCCTAAAGTTGTCAGTACTCAAAAATAGTCACATGTGCTGAGGAATGAAGTTTTTGAATTTCTGCTTTGCCTTCAACTCCACATAAAACTGTCCCCATGGAAAACCTCCATTCCTGGCTGGGCACCAAGGTCGAGTAGCAGTGGATGGCTGGGTAGTGACAGTCCCTAGTTATTAATGAGGCGAGATAAGCCATTAAGATTTGGAGCGATTTTTCTAAAACAGTATTTTCCAGTAGAAATACACATGTGAGCTCTACATATGCTTAAATTTTCTGGTAATCTGATTAAAAAAGGAAAAAGAAACAAAAGTTTTAATAATTTTTTTAAAGATTATTTATGCAAACAAGAACTGGGGTACAAGTCAGAAGTATGGAGGGTGAGAAGATTAACCAGAGACAGAGTGGGGAGCAGAACAGGCAGATTGACTGAAATACACTGCTGAGGGGAGCAGCGGGTGAGTCAGGAGAGGTCTGCTGTGCCATGTGGGTAGCTTCCTGACTGGGAATTGAACTCGTGCTGCAGTGGCTGCGGACAACTTCATAGGTTGTGTCTTAACCCCTTGAACAACCAGGGAGGCCCTAATAATATCCTTTTTTTGGGGGGGGGCAACACCTTTTTTTTTTTAAGATTTATTTATTTATTTATACAAGCACTGGGTACAGTCAGAAGCGTGGGAGGGTAAGAAAATTCACCAGAGCCAGAGCAGGGAGCAGAGCAGGCAGAAGGACCGAAGTACACTGCTGAGGGGAGCAGCGGGCGGCAGGAGAGGTCTGTGCTCCATGTGGGACCCTCCTCCGGTGGCCGGGGAGCAGCCGGGGATCGAACCAGTGCTGCACAGGCTGTGGGCAGCTTTGCAACCCAGTGCTCAACCGCTGCGCCACTGGGGAGGCCCCCCTAATAATATTCTTTAACTTAATTTATCCAACATTATTATTTTAGCTTGTGATCGATATAACAATGACTGAAAAATTTGTGTTCTTTTTGGGGTGCCAAATCTTTGAAATATGCTCTAGTATATATTTTACACAGCTAGCACATCTTAATTCAAATGTAAAGTTTTTATTGACAATTCTTGCTCAGTTGTTACAAACATATCTAGGGCCTCCCCGGTGGCGCAGTGGTTGAGCGCTGGGTTGCGAAGCTGCCCGCGGCCTCTGCGGCGCCGGTTCGATCCCCGGCTGCTCCCGGCCACCGGAGGAGGGTCCCACATGGCGTGCAGACCTCTCCTGCCGCCCGCTGCTCCCCTCAGCAGTGTACTTCGGTCCTTCTGCCTGCTCTGCTCCCTGCTCTGGCTCTGGTGAATTCTCCCACCCTCCCGCGCTTCTGACTGTACCCAGTGCATGTATAAACAAAACAAACAAACAAACAAATAAATAAATAAAACATGCCTCTATAAAAACAAAAAAAAAAAACAAAAAAAAACATATCTAAAAGTTTTCCCTAAAATTGGCTCATTTGCTAGCTTTTTAATTTTAAATTTATTAAAATTAAACACAATGAGAAGTTCAGTTTGTCAGTCACACCAGTCACATTTCAAGTGTTCATTTGCCTAATGTGTCTGGCAGCAGCTGCTTCACTAAACAATTTTAGCATATTTGAGGGGGCCTCTTAAACAACAACTTGTCCTATGTGCCTACAGAAAGCAGGATCACAGGAATGATGCACAGTTCGAGCACCTGCATCATGCTAGAAGTCTGTGGTGCGAGTGAAGAGGTGATCCAGCGCAGGTTCTCCATTCTCCCGATAGACTGAGGCTCAGAAGTCCTGAACTGTGTAGCTCCAGCTGCCCGTGGTAGCGACAGAGCCAGACCCTTTCCTGCCGGTGCCCAGACCTGCATTCCCTTCACCGTTCCCCCTTCCCTACACTCCATTCTGGTTCTTTCCCGTGGGTCCTCAGCAGGTGTGTCGTGTAAACCCCAGCAGTGACTCGGTCAATGTGAGGGTGACTGTTTGCTTTCCCTTCCTGAGCATTCTGCCCACCCAAGGCTGGTGCCCATGCAGGGGTCATGGGATGTCTATGGGCAGCCTCTGATCGTGAGAAAGCAAAAGAGGATTGACTTGTCCTGCTTCTTGGAGAACTTCTCCGAAGACACTTTTCCTGTAGCAGAGTTGTGTGTGTTCCAGGCATAAATTGGACTTGAAGCTATTATCAGAGAGCTACTGATGGTGGAGAAGGTATAGCTGTCCCAGTTGCAGTGTTTGCTGCCTTGTAGCTGCCCCTTAACCTGGGTCCCACCACCTTACTGGCATCAGAATATTCATTCAGGATGAGCGTGGGTTCACCTGCGGGTGTTTCCCCTCCTCACCCAGCAGCTCCAGCTTCCTAGACAATTCCTGAGCCCGCCCCTGCTTTCCAGAGAATGGAGGTTATTCTTTCAGTTGATTCCACAGACACAGATTTATTTGTACTTGGGGGACCAATATCTGCCTCCATAATTGAAGAGAAATGGGGAAAAGATTTTGAAAATACCCATTTTCCCCTCCCTAGCTTATTGCGCAAAATCCTTATCTTTTTCCATTTAACTATCAGAGCACAGTAGGTCAAGCTAACTATATGACCTGCTTTTCTTCTATTTCTCTTACATGAAACATAAAAATGAATTTGAGGTTTTTTTATTTATTTATTTATTTTTTATTTATTATTATTATTATTATTTTTTTTTTTAGAGGCATGTGTTTTTTATTTATTTATTCGTTTTGTTTTTGTTTATACATGCACTGGGTACAGTCAGAAGCGCGGGAGGTGAGAGAATTCACCAGAGCCAGAGCGGGGAGCAGAGCAGGCAGAAGGACCGAAGCACACTGCTGAGGGGAGCAGCGGGCGGCAGGAGAGGTCTGCGCACCATGTGGGACCCTCCCCCGGTGGCCGGGGAGCAGCCGGGGATCGAATCGGCGCCTCAGAGGCTGCGGGCAGCTTCGCAACCCAGCGCTCAACCGCTGCGCCACCGGGGAGGCCCTAAAAATGAATTTGAATTCATTTACTGGAGTTCAGCCTTCATGATTTGACCATGTTGCTTTCCAGAAGGGTTTCAGGCAGACTGGTTATGCAAGTGACACTTCCTGTTTACCCGCTTTTAATAATTAATGGCTGAGGATGACAGATTGTGACCACAAAAGTGTTCCGATGTCATTTATTTGCAATGTTATACTCCCACAGCAGCACTCCAAACAATTGTAGCAATACGATTTGCACACAAGGAATTGAACAAGGACTCTGATCGGCTACAGATTCTGATTACCGTCACGGCTGAAGATGATTATTTTGAAAGTGAGCTATCAAGAGTCTGAAATAAGGGGTTCAAGGCTTGTGAGAAAAAGATGTGTCTTTAGTGAGGCGTTTTTCACCACCCCTGGGTAATCACATACATTCTATCATTTCTGTCAACCCCTTTATGTTGATAGCGCCCCCAGCTGAGACAAGGTTCCTGAAATCTAGAGCCCTATATTCAGCTGCCTACCTGACATCTCCAGATGTATGACTTTAAGATTTTCCAGGTTCCTCAGTATTCTGTTCCCTCGCAGGGTCCCACCATTTCCCCAGTTGACCAGGCTGTAAACCTGGGTCCTTCTTAACTTTTCCCGCTCCTTTACTTCTGGATCACAAGATTCTGCAGGATCTGGTTCCTGCCCAGCACCCCTGGCCTGCTCTCATACCTGCCATCTGGGTCTTTGAGCCAGACTGATGGTGCCACATTCGCACTCATCTATAGGCGTGTACGGCATTCTCTGTCCTCTTTCCTCTATTCTTGACATTCTCAAGATAAAAGATTACTGCAGGCCTAGCAGTTTTCCCTCTGTGGCAGCCATCATCCTGTTAGGCTTGCTATGGGAGGGCCTTGTTCACTGCTGCCCCCTCTCCCCGCATTTAGTTCTACATCTGATGTACAGTAGGTGCTCAGTAAATATTCTTAGAACAATATTTGACTGAGAACTTTGTGCCAAGTGCTTTGCTAAGTATGTTGCCTGTATTACCTTGTTTTGTGAGAGTAGGATTAGGGCGACCACCCTCGGTGGTAATTATTGCAGGTCCACAGAGACACCAGGATGACAGTCATGAAGAGAGAAGGCAGATTCAAGCTATATGTGCAAGTGGAATCAACAAGACTTGCTGATAACTTGGATGAGGGCTTGAGGTTGGGGGCTCGGGGGTGGTAGGGAATAAAGGGAGTGAAGGGTAACTGCTAGGTTTCTGGCCTGAATATTGCTGAGTGCTGCTGTGCCTTACTGAGAAGGGGATAAAGGACTGTGCATAAGGACATTTGTGGAGGAAAAAAATAAAAGTTCTTTCTGATATGTTAGACTTGAAATGCCCGTTAGGTTGCCAGGGGGAAATGCATATATAAATCTGAAACTTTAGAATAAAATCAGATCAGTTACATTGGGAACACACCAAAACTCCATGAGGTAGAACTATTAGAAACTGAAGCATCATAGCCTCTTGAGTGACCCAGCACACTGACAGCACCAGCTGCTTGCCCACTAAGCAGTGAATGGTTGGCTGCTCCAGCCACTGCCCAGCTCAGCATTCTGCAATGTGAATTTCTCCATCCAGCTGTGGGAATTGCTTTGCAGGTCAAATTATGCTATATTTATGTATTTTAAATGTAACTAGGCAGGCTTCCAGGCATATAAAGAAGTACAGAGCAGAAGAGAAAATCAGCCAGGAAAGAAGAGGGTTTGTCTGGCATAATAGTAGTCAGCAGGTAGTGTTGATGGATTCATCTGGCGGCTTCTGGGCTGTTGAATAGCATATAGCAAGGACATTAAAGTCTAGTTTTTGTTCCTCAACTTACAGAAAAGCAGTTTTGTTTGAAATGCATTGTTCATCTGTTATTATAAAAGCACAGATGTAAAAAAAGAACCGTTTTTTGCTTCACATTTTAAGATAGTTGCAGGTTACATTTTGAGAATTCAATTCATAATGTTTTGTAAATAGGAGATGCTACATTTCTTGTGTTTTGACTCCTGCAGGAAGCAAACTGCTGTTGAATGTAGGCTAAGGCATGTACTTTCTCCTAGGGTGCATGCAGATGTGTGTGCCTACGTTATTTTAAAACCACACACATGTGATGTATAGTATAAATGTGTGGTGATCTGAAAATACTTTTAATTCTGTTTTATTTCAGGAATAATGACGGTTCCTGCTTCTCGCTTATATTGACTAAACACCGTGTGCACTTTAACCCCCTGTCAGTGCCATCAGGCAGACAGAAGACAGGGTTTTGAAATCTCAGCTATAAAGACATCCAGCCAAAGTCTCAATCTTGCCTTAACAATGTTCCGGAGACTGAATAAAATGTTTGTGGGTGAAGTCAGTGCTTCTTCCAGCCAAGAACCAGAATTTAGTGAGAAAGAAGATGATGAATGGATTCTCGTTGACTTTATAGGTAAGGTATTCCCCAAGCTTAATCTTCATAGAGAAAGTGGAAACTCTTGCATCTCAGTTTTTGCATAAGTAAGCCAGTAACTTTGGCTCAGCCTTAAAAGTAAATAAACAAGAATTTGTCTAAAAAAAAAAAAATTGCAGGAAACATCTTGTGCCAGATGATCAGTCAGTAAAATTGATTGACGTCAGACTTTCCAGTTTTGCAACTCTTGCACCCTGATCAAATCAGAGGCACTTTAATAGGAAACCCTCATTTTAGACAAGCGGTAACCCAGATGACTCATTATATGTTTATTCCTCAGAATAGAAACAAAATCCATCCCATACAGCACAACACCACACACACACTCCCACACACTCCTCAGAAATGTTTAGAAACGTATTTCTCAGTGAATATAAATGGTTTTGTTTTTCACCTGAATACAGGGAGGGATGTGAGCATCAGCTAATCATATCATCTCTTCTCTTTCTGTTCTCTGAATTGAATTTCGACATGATACTCATCCTCCGGTGGGACTCCAACAATGCATTTGGACTGTGCTTAGACACTTGCACTGGTTTCTCAGCAGATGATGAGGAAGAAGATCTTGGCGAAGAGTCACCGACTGAGCACCCTGCTGTCTTTTCCTGTTTACCAGCCTCTCTTGAGTGCTTGGCTGATACAAGTGATTCCTGCTTCCTCCAGTTTGAGTCCTGTCCCATGGAGGAGAGCTGGTTTATCACCCCTCCCCCATGTTTTACTGCAGGAGAATTAACCACTATCAAGGTAGAAACCAGTCCTATGGAAAACCTTCTCATCGAACATCCCAGCATGTCTGTGTATGCTGTGCATAACCCCTGCCCTGGTCTCAATGAGGCCACCTGTGGGACTGATGAATTTCATGACCCAAGTAGTCCCAGGTATGTTGTGAATATTTATTCTCTTCATAGACAGTCTGTTTAGCATCCATTTTGTTTCTACTATTTACAGCTAAAATTTCAGAGATGCAAAGTCGTCTTGTTAGAGATGTATGAAAAACATGTACAAGGTGGTTGATGGTATGAACAAACTTGTTCATTTTAGATTTTAAAAAAACTTGTAGCAGAGACCCAGTTATGTAGTGAAATGCTGTCTAGTTTATAATTTTTTGCTGTTCAGTGGGGAAGAAAAGACTGACATTGCTTCTAAGTGTCTTAGACTATAAATCTGGCCCTATAGTGACTGAATAATTTGGGGTATCAAACGCGACAAGGATATTATGTCTTAAAATCTTTACTTTCTTCTTAGTTCCAGCTCGGTCACATCAAATGGCATTTAACCTTGAAAACCTAAGCAATCTTAAGCATGAAGTCAAATGGCAGTTTTACCAGAACATTTGCTTAAAGAATTGTTTTCAGCTCTGCAGAGAAAAGACTTCACTGTGTCTTCTTCTTACATGGGACTCCCCAAGTGGTCTGAAAGGCTCTGTTTGAATGGCAAATAGGTTGAGGACCAGTAAAGTTTCAGGGAGGGTGCCTGCTCAGTGAAGATTGCTATGTCCCACAGCAAACTTAGAGGAATGCTGTGGCCTTTACCCAGTAAATATATTCAAAATTGGGACCACCACTAAGATAATGCTCAGGGGTGTGTTAATTAGGTCAAAGTCCAAGGAGTTATCTCAGTCTGTTAGTGGAATATTCCCCATGGTGTTACTTTTGGGGAGACTGGCACTAACTGAATTTCTCCTCTTAGGTCAGGGGTACAGGTGAATTGGATTCTTTAAAGCAGTTCAGAATATTCCTATAGTTAGTGCTGTCTCATCCAAAGGGCCTCTTTCTGGATTGTTCACTCTGACTTTACTAACTGGACTATTGCATAGATCTTCTACTATTTCCTGTTAGCCAAATATAAACAAAGTCCAGGCAGCTCATTAATTTGTTAACTTTACCAGAGTTTGCTGCACTCTTAAATCGCAATATTGTAGATGATCTTGTGTGAGGATAAACATATGCTTCTACCAAATCAAAAACAATTTGCTCAGATAATTACCCAGACCTTATATGGGTACAATCCTTGATGGGAAATGGTACTTTAACCAGTACTTATTCAACACTCTAAGTTTATCAAGAGGTCAGTATTCCAGGCATTCCAAAAAAAAAAAATATTTAAAGTATGATTTTGTGGAGGTGGTATGGATTTAAATCGTTTTATAATTGATTCAAATTAATTTCTTTAGTTTTTAAAAATTCTTGCTACCCAATTCTAATCTTGCATTTGAGAAATTCCACTCAGTAATTTAACATGATCAGTATTTGTTTTAAACTTACTGGCATTTGTATATTTACTTCTCAGTTTTTAAAGTGTGTGTTTGTACATATATGTACACAAATGTAGTCAGCAGCTTTATAAATAGCTTTCTGTTATTACAAAGGCAATACATATGCATTGTAAGAAATTAGAAAATGCAAAACACAAAAATTTAAAAGTTTAAAATGATATTCTCACCACCCAGAGGGCATATCCTTGATTGTGTTTTTCTATTTGTGCACACACACATATTTTTAAACTAAATGGGATCAATCTATATATACAGTTTTCATATGCTTCTTTAGGCATTTATCTCCATTTTTGTTTTTTCAATATTTCATTCATATACTACCCAGACCATACACAGATTTATCCCCTAGAGCCCAGAATATTTCATGTAGTTTGTCCAAACTATGACCTAGCCCTGGACTAAGCATTGCCTCTGGCTATAAATTTGCAGTTTTGACACAGTAATAATGCTCATTTTTTTCCTATCTTGTTTGCTTTTGCATATCTTGTTATAAGCTTTGTGTAACAGATAAGATAGTTAAACAAATGTGTACTTTTCCATTTATAAAGGGTCAAAATACCATACTTTATACCAACATAGGAAAGTACTGCAAATTATAACAGTTTTATAATTAATTTTTTTTTTTAGTATCCTTATTTTTGGAGTTGAAATTTTTATAAGAAAGATCCACTCAATCAATTTAAATCAGATGTTATTAAATTAGGAGGAATGCTATGTTGTAGTTATATTTTCTGGGCCGAAAAGAAATCATAGGTCTTTAAAAGTTTGATAGCATCCTACCTATTCTTGGGGATATTACCATAAAATATTAAAATAAGGTGCTTCATAATTACAGATGGGCTTCAGTGTGTGAATTCTATTGCATTTTATAAATGTGCTTTTAATGATCCATAGTAAACCAGTTTTAATAAAGAAAACTTGACCACATCCTAACCGTAAAATTAAATAGCACTTTAAGTCTTACTAGTGATTTAATAGTTCACCATTTAACATTTGTAGGGCCAGGAAAAGCTGCTTATCAGACTCACTGGCACAGAGTAAGTATTTTCCCTTTTAGACTATGTGATATGTATTATCAAGCTGAGCAGGGAGGATGAGGGCTCAAAGCACCCACCTTTTAAAAACCATTGTCTTTATATTCACTTCTTTCTATTAGTTTCTTAATGTGTCCTGCTTTAATTCTGCTATGTAAAAAAAAAAATGTATTAAAGGATGATGTTGTTTTCCTCTAGTGACTATAGGCAGAATATACAGTTGCCTTTCCTGTGCGGAATAACCCTTAAACATCTTAGAACTCTCTGTGTTATATGTTAATATAGTTTAAGATCTATCCTACTGGATTAGCATTTACTATAGAAAACATTCAATGGGGCCTCCTTTGGTGGCGCAGGGGGTTGCATGCAGTGCTGTGAAGCTGTCCGCAGCCTCTGCAGTGCAGGTTCAATCCTCGCCAGCCGGCAAGAATCCCACATGACGCGGCAGACCTCTCCTGTTTCGCCTGCTGCTCCCCTCAGCAGTATATTTCAGTAGATCTGCCTCTTCTGCTCCCCGCTCTGTCTCTGGTGAATCCTCTCACTCTCCCGTGTATCTGGCCTGTACCCCAATTCTTGTATGCATGAATAAGTAAATCTTTAAAAAAAAAAAAAGAAAAGAAAAGAAAACATTCAATGTTTGCATGGTTTAGAGCCATATTTTTAGATTTGGTGTCCTACAAGGGTCTTTATAACATTGCCATGCAAATATCATTGCGAAATCTGCCCATTTGTGACATAAATTAAAAATTTGGGAGTATCTTCTATAATAAGCAGTAGGTTTTTTTTTTTAAGATTTATTTATTTATGCATACAAGAACTGGGGTACAGGCCAGAGGTGCTGGGGGTGAGAGGATTCACCAGAGACAGAGTGGGGAACAGAACAGGCAGATTGACTGAAATACACCACTGAGGGGAGCAGTGGGCAAGACAGGAGAGGTCTGCTGCGCCATGTGGGCCAGCTCCCTGGCCAGGTATCTAACTCATGCTGCAGTGGCTGCAGATAGCTTCATAATGCTGCGACTTAACCCCTTGTGCCACCAGGGATGCCCAAGCAGTAGGTTTTTTTTACCTAGAAAAATGTTAAATGAGTAGAATTTCCTTATGTATATTTCTATTAAATAGACATTTAAAGTTTGTTTCCTAAAATAATTTACTTAGAAAACATCTGTGAAGGTAGTGTTAATACAACCTATGAGTCTTAACCCTGCTTCATTAATATGGTCTTTGGAGTGCGACTTTCATTAGAATTGTGGTTGAGTCATTTAATAAATGTAACCTTAATATCTATGAGCCTTTGCTTTCTGATCAGCAAAATTTACCAATTAAAATATTGTCTTTTTAAGTTATGGTAAGAACTAAATTAGATAACCTTTGCAAAACATGTGGCCAATGCAGATATTTAATAAATGTTAGTTCCCCTCCTAGAAAAACACAAATAAATGTTTGTGCTGTATATTTGAAATTTGTTAAAAATGGAAAGCATTTTTTAAAATAGTCTAATTAAAAATAAAATTTTTAAAAATAGTCTAATTAGCCACTTGTGGATTAAATAGTTCACTTCCATTCAAAATTATCTCTTCCTTTCCCCTTCTGTCAGTGTGATCACATATGTAAACCTGTCTGCCAGCCACAGACACTAAGCTCTCATTCAGCCATGAACAAATGAATATGGTAAAGTGAATTCACTCAGTAACTTTTTTGATTTCAGTAATAACATACGTTGCTATATAATACATCCCCACTTTTTTTGTTTCAGAGTAGAAGCTCAAAATGAAATGGAGCAGCACATTCATTGCTATGTTGCAGCTCTTGCTACTCATGCAACTTTTCTGGAACAACCCAAGAGCTTTCGACCTTCCCAGTGGATAAAAGAACATAGCGAAAGACAGTCTTTGAACAGAAATAGCCTTCGTCGCCAAAATCTTACCAGGGATTGCCACTCTCGGCAAGTCAAGCACAATGGCTGGGCTGTCCATCAGCCCTGCCCGCGTCAGTACAATTACTAAGAATTTCAAGTTTGGCTGGTTGGTTTCTCTTGGTTTGTGCCTGTGTGTGGATATGTGTGTGTGGACAATGAAAATGTCTCCTGACAGCCAATTGATGACCAATCACATTGTTATATTCATGTTTAGACACTATCTTGAAAACCAGATTTACATGCTGTGTATCACATAATGCCTTGCTCTTAACATTTTCTTCTCTGTAAATTTTTTCAGAATATTTTTGGAAACATATCAGTACAGTTACAGTGTTTGGTATCTGGGGATGTCTTTAAATCCATTAAGGTGTATATGAGTTAGTCAGCATTTTGAAGACATTTCTTCCCACATACGAGAATAGGTATCTTTCAATTCCATTTTATTTTGTATTACTTAGTCAATCTTTTGAGTAAGCAAAAATTTATTCTCAGGGTCAGCCATACACTTTATTGACCAGTACTTGATAATCTTTTCTGTATATTACGAACACATTTTACACACTAACGTGAGCATTAACGGTGATAGTTGCCATGGATATAATGGAATTATGGCTGAACTTTCTTTTGAAAGAAAACTTGATATATTTCTGTGTGTATATTTGTTTTGTTTTGTTTTGTTTTTTCAGATTAGCCATGTAGTTCATTTTGGAATTCAGGTACATTAAGTTTTAGTGAACAGTTCATTTAGTTATTCTGATGTGACAGATGTTAAGGGGCGGCACTCGTCCCACACGCAGAGGGATGAAATTAGACCTGTGAAATTGTATTTGGAAAAATGTATGTCTATAACCCCATCAGTCCACTATTTAAATCATAGGGGTTCTTTCCTGCCGGCTCTGCCCACTCGCCACTTTGTGTTAGTGGTTAATTCAGAAGTACTTGTCCAGGCACTTGAATGATTTCTTATTTATATCTGCCCAAGGGGAAGGAGATGGGCCATGTATTTCTGATAACAGTGATAAATCCTCTGCCACGGAGCCTCTCCTGCCAACTGGCAACAAGCAGGAGTGAGGAGGAATTTCTGGTGATGTTTCATAGCATCTAAAGAGTGACAAGTTGGCTCCCTTGATTTTCATTTTTTTTGTTTTAAATTGGGCTTCAGGCGAATCTTTATAACCACTTTGGCCTCTGTTTCTTCCACCAACAGGGGAGTCATAATATTTAGCTCCCTTGTAGTTTGCTGTGAGGACTATGTATTTGAAGTGGGGCTGTTCCTTATGTGAAATTCTAAGGACCTCTCTGAATCCAGTGACGGGGTGGGGCCTGTGGCATTTTTTCTGCCACAGTTGTTCTTTAGAGTTGGTGCTCATGAGGCCAGGGTGCAGGGTTCCATTCATACAGAGGCCAGTTAACTTGACACAGAGAAAATCTATTCCTTACCTCTAACCAGTCACTTTATTTTCTAGCAGTTGTGATGGGTTTTGCTGAGCCACTCTCACCCATTTCCTCTGAAATTACGTTAAATACATTTACAATTTAAAACACCATCTACTGACAGAACAGTAGTATCAACTTAATAATAAAACAGCTATTTTCCATTTCCTCTGCAACCCTAATTAAGTACACATCTATAAAAAGTCTTCAAGGGGAAAAGCCAGCCTATAGTTATGTGAAGTAGTGTATATTCTTCAGTAACCCTGTAGCACCTGATGCAGGGAACCATGGGAGACTTTTTTTTTAAAGTGAAGAGCTGTGCTCTTTTCTGACTAGACTGGCATGTTTAGAATGAGAAGAGGTCAAATAGCATAGTTAGGTTGTGGCGTTAGTTTCTTCACTGGCCACGAAGTGCCAGGAATGTTTTTATAACCAGTCTAGATACCCCTTTTCTCCTTTATACCCCTTCCATTTCTACTACCCTTTTATTTATTTGTTTTCTGATTAGGGGCCAAGTATATAAAGTTTTTGTCAAACTGAGCTCGAAGTTATTTTGTTACTATTGTGTTTACCAGAGTGGGGAGATGAGGTAGTGTTCTCATGAAGGTGTGTTTTACACCAGTCTGATACAGGGCCATGTGTCAGTAACTTGAAAATAACCCAGCTAGATGTTTTCTGGATGTAAGCCTCTAAAGACCTGGGGGGGTCTCTCTTTTTGTTCTTATATTCCATGTAGGTTGTTAGTACCTCATGAGCTAACAGAAGTTCAGCCATTAGAATTTGTTTGGCAGCGTGAACAGAACTGTATATAAAACTGCAGTAGTTTTTTTTTTTTAACTATTATTTTTTCAGATTTGCTGATGCCTTCAACACATTTACATCTCTGTCAGTTATTGACCCTTTGCTGTCTCTGGGCCTAGTTTTTTATGCTTTACACCTGGTAAGCAAGTGATTTAGTCTCTGGGATGTTTCTTCAGGATAAGATCATCTGTGATCTCATACTGTGGTTTCTATATCAGTATCTTAAGATTGCTAACTGAAGTTGGCACATGTAAGAATTGAAGCAAGTGGTTATATAATTCAGTTGAAGTTCTTGGTCATTAAAGATGTCTAGGCATCTACTGTGTACAAGACACAAGACCAATAATAAGACAGAATGATATTGACCTGTTAAGTATTCTTTCAAACATAGCCAAAATGCATTTTACTATGAGTTTTAATTATTATTTTGCTGTTGTAAATATGAGTGGTTTACAATGTGCTTTAGTGTATATTCCTTAAAAACTCAAGCAGTGAGAAACAAGACCCCTTCAGATTTTGTGCTGTTTCTAAACTGATAATATAGAATGTTACTTGGAAAAAGTCTGGAATATGTGGTGCATACAAGCAGTGCTTCATGAACGAGTTTTAGTTTTTTAATGCACCGTGTTTCTCAAAGTTTCTGTTTTTGTTAATAAAACATTTTGTAATGTATATCCTTTTTTATTACTTTTCCTTCCTCAACTAATTGAACTGTGTACTGCACTGTATATTGAAGATAAACCATCTACTATTTATCTTCTGTGGCAATGCATTTATTTGGTTGGTTGAGTGGGGAATTTTTTGCAGAATATACAAAGAGATCAGTTTTTTGACTTCCTATCCCAGGGAGCTTTTTTTTAGTTAATTTCCTGAACACTTTTCTGGTTCCCATGCAAATTTTTCCTGTTTACACATCTTCTCTGTTGTATCAGTACTTTCTTTCTAGTGAGAAGATAGTTTATTTAAAACTTGAGAGGTCTATTCAGCATCACTTACAGTTTTTCCTGCTCAAATCTGTGTATTACACTGGCTTATAATCTTTGTGTTTCATTGAATATGAATGTCTTTGCTATTTCTCCACCTCCTCCTCAAGGAAATACGTTGTCTTCATATACTCTTAAGAAAAAGGAGCAAAAAGGAGTATCTTCTTTATCCTCATTTTCTTTGAGTGAGAAACACAAAAAAAAAAATGAAGGACGCCAACTAGAAGATAGGCATTGGAATTTAAATAGATTAATAGAGAAAGTTTAAGCATTTCCAAGTATTAGTTTTGTTTTTAGAATCCGTTAAGTGACTGCTCCTTATACTGGGAGATACCATTATATGTTTGTAATGTGACCTTAAAATGATCTTTTTGTTTTATAAAGCCCATATACATTAGTTAAATTCTTTTAAAAGTTGGGCTACTGTCGTGGTTTCACTGCCACCAGCCATGTTGATGTATTATAAATGGCATCCTTATCTACTTTTTTTATGCTTAAAATTTTATATAAAATGCTTTATTTAGCAACCTTGCATAATACAATGGTGTCAGTTCTTGCCATGTACCAGTTTCACTTGAAATTTGACACCAGTTATAGCAGTTTGGGGTGGAGAAAGAGGTACTGGGGGGGGGCACACAGATAAGGTGATCTTTTCCCATTTGCAACAGTATCCTTTATGTGGGAGGAGAAGTTACTATTCAAAGGAAGGCAGCTTAAGTGCATAATGTTTGTGTATTGTCTTTCCTTACATTTAAAAAAAAATCGTTGGACTGTTAAATGCCCAATTTTGTTCTGTATTTGCCTGAAGTTTTATGATTTTTACCGAGGTGGACTTGTGAAAACCAAACCAGTGCTTGGGGAGGTTCGGTGTGTGTGTTTCCTGGCTTGGTGTGAATGAGTGGTTTTGCTTTTTGGTTGTGTTTTCTTACAGAGGTTTGGAACTTTAATCAATAATTATGTGTGTTATTTAAAAAAAGTGGCTTTTTTTCCCTCACAATTGTGAAAACATTTGTTTTTCAAAAGCAGGGCGTCAGTTACAGAGACTGAAGAATATTGTAGATTGTTCTATGTGCCTTCTTGATGTGTTTCTGGACACAGATTTTTTTTTCAACAACTTGAAAACTCAAAAGGGACATTTGGTTAGGTTATAAACTGTACATCAATCTATGCATAAATGGCAGCTTGTTTTCTTGAGCCACTGTCGAAATTTTTTTGTTTTTATAGAATTTTTTATACTGATTGGTTGATAGTCAGTTTTCTACACAGACTAAACAATACAGCACTTTGCCAAAAATAAGTGTAGCATTGCTTAAACATTGTGTATTAACACCAGTTCTTTGTATTTGGGCTCAGTGGTGCATTTTGCACTATCTGGAGTTGTGGTTTTTAATCTGTCAGTAAATAAAATGTCCTTTAATGTCACATTTGTCAGGTTCTCTTTATTTCATCTTTACCGGCATTAACCTTTAAAACTGCGAGTACTTTCTGTTTAGTCTTGTCCAAAAGATGTGGTTACTAAGTGCTTTGAATGCTTTTTAAAAAAAAAAAATTTGTGTGTCGGGCCTCCCTGGTGGCACAAGGAGTTAAGCACCGCACTATGAAGCAATCGACAGCCTCTGCAGCATGAGTTCGATCCCCAGCCAGGAAGAAGCCCACATGGTGAGTCAGAGCTCTCCTGTCTCACCCGCTGCTCCCCTCAGCAGTGTATTTCAGTCTGCCTGTTCTGTTCCCTGCTCTGTCTCTGGTGGATCCTCTCACCCCTCGCATCTCTGGCCTTTACTCCAGCTCTTGTATGCATAAATAAATAAATCTTAAAAAAAAAAAAACTTGTGTAAAATTAGTACATTATAATTTCTCACCTAAAACGAATAATCAGTTAAGTCAACATGAATTGGGGCATGACTCTCCACCAGTCCCTTTTTCTTCCAACCAGTCTTTAAAAAAAAATACTGAATTGAATACACTGTTACTTAGCTTAACTGTTTTGTAAGCTTACCCAGTGCATTCTCAATGGCTTTTCTCTCAGATAAATTTAGACACAGTTTTATATAAACTTTTGTTGTATATAAACTTTTGTTTTGCCTTCCTTGATGCCCAGTAATACCCCCTATTGTGGAGATCGACTTTAAATAGATGAGTAAATATTCAGAATACTTTTCATCTCTGAGTCTCAGCTGAGATGAAAAAATAGAAGCAGAGCTGAGGAGGGGTCATCCCAAAGATGAAAGTTGCCATGAGAAGGAGCAGCTTGAAATGAATGAGCCTACCTGGAATGGCAGGTGAATGTCACAGTTTATCAGGCCTATTGACAAGGTGGCCAGAGATGGAATGACGGCATGGGGCAGGGAGGAGGAGCTGCAGGTGGTTTGTGGAGATGGACACCTCAAGGGCTCAGTTTGATATGCAAGCCCCCCCCCCCAAGGGCAGGAAGGGACAGGACGGGAGGGAGCAGGTTCTCTATGATCCGAGCAGATGGGGTAAAGGAAAGTCTGGAGCCCTCTGTGGCTTTTGCAGGCTTTTATTGGGATTTTACTGGGTACACAGCAGCAGGGGTGCTGGGGGGCCGGGAGGCTGGCAGGCTCCCAGCCCCTAGCAAGTCTTCACTCTTTCTGGGCTCTCCAGTGTTCTCTCGCGTTCTGCTTCTCGTGGTTCTCTCTTTCTCTCCTCATGGTTCTTCTGGCGTCCCCACGCCGCAGCCCTCATAAGCCCAGTCTCAGCCCAGGTGTACGCAGTTAGGCACGCCCACACCTCACTCCAGGTGCCCGCCTCCCCCAGCCCCCCCATCAGGCATGCATTCAGGACCGCAGGGATCTATCATCAATCCTAATGGCAGGAGGGCAGAAAAGCCTGATACTTTTTTACCTTACCCATCACCCCCTCCCCACAGCGGTGAGTGAGCTCTGGGGTGGGTCTTTGACCCCATCAAAGGCCACAAGTTGCATTGGAGACTTTGGGGGAGCAGCTGACTTTTTTTCTACCTGACTGTGATCAAGAATGGCTGAACCTGTAAGTGCAGCGATGAGGGTGAGAACCGTTATGACGCCTCCAGAGCAGGGGAGTGAAGGCGAGCAGGAGACGGCTTTACCGAGGGATACAACGCAAGGCCTCGTTCAAGCGCTGCCCAAGGACTTAACCTCATGTGAGGTAAGTTCTCTTTTTACATAAGCTGGTTTGGGTTTGGCTCTATGCCTCTTGGCCGCCAGCAGACAAGGAGCATTTCCTCTGGCCTCACAGAAGCGGATGTGAATGCTCCTCAGTGTAGGGAGTGGACCCAGAGAGTGACTGAGTCAGCAAGCAGGGATAGGAATGAAAGGCTTTTACTTACAGACTTTCAGGCTCCATTGAATGTGCAGATGGTCCTTGACTTACGATGGGTAAGTTGAAAATATTAAGTCAAAATAGCTGGCAGCTTAGTGCATTGTAGTGAACCACTGTTTACCACGTGGGGTGGCTGACTGGGAGCTGGGGCGCACCGTGCCAGCCAGCATCACCAGTGCGGCAGCCCCTCATGTTCTAGCTTGGGACAATTCACCCGAACTACAATTTCTACTGAGTGTATTGCCTTTGCACCTGTAGAGTAAGGAAAAATGTCAGGCTTTTCTGCCCTCCCGCCATCAGGATAGATGATGGATCCTTGCGGTCCTGAATGCATGCCTGATGGCGGGCACCTGGAGTAGGGTGTGGGCATAGGTAGATGGGATTCACCTGGGCTGAGACTGGGCTTTTAAGGGCGGCATCACGGGGACGCCAGCAGAAGCCGAAAGAAGCTGAGAAAGAAGTAGCAGAAGCTGAGAGAGAAGCGGAGAACACCAGAGAGCCCAGAAAGAGTGAAGACTTGCTGGGGGCTGGGAGGCCTGCCAGCCTCCCGGCCCCCCAGCACCCCTGCCTGCTGTGTACCGGGTAAATCCCAATAAAAGACCTGCAAAAAGGACTCTGACTCCTCCTTTACCCGGTCTGCTGGATCCTAGAAAACCTGCACTGTGTCCATTCCTGCCTCTACAGCACCACTGTAAAATCAACAAACTTTAACTATAATACTCCAAAGGAGGACTTGCTGTGTGTGGGATGCTGGCAGAGGCGGCTCTCATGTGACACAGCCTTGCGAGCCACAGCACAGCATTCCAGGGCCTGTAGGGGTGGGATTTGGGGGGCTCAGTCGCGCGGGGTCTGGAGTGGCATCTGGGAGAGTCCTCCACCTCAACAGCCACCCTGGGTTGCAGTAGCAGGGTGGGTCACCATGAACTCAGACCCAGGCCCCCCCTGGCCCCTGCACTAGATATTGGGATTCTTGAATGATCCTGGGGACCCGTGTGCAGGGACCCCACTGAATGCCGCAGCTGACTTTCTTGACGGCCAGTTAGAGGAATGTTTGGGAGTAGGCTGGACCTGTAATAATGTCTTAACATCCAGCGTTACACGGACTGAAGTTTTTATCAGCATCCTGCTTTAAATCTCCCTGCTGGGTATTATGAATTTTGTACATTTCTTTCCATTCCCTTCACTGTGAAATGACCCTGTTCCACCAGTTTAAGATACACATTCTCACATCCACACCTCTGTACATCTTGCAGCCAGGGTCATGTCATGAGTAATGACATAATGGGCAGTTTGTTCTCGCTTAATGATGCATAAAACAGGCCTTTCAATTTGTGTCACCTTCGATGCCAGGAACAGCACAAACTACTCCCTTCCCTTCTCTGGCCCCTCCCTGGCCCTCAGAGTTCACTTAGACCGGCTCACCTATCTGTGCTGCTTCTTGAGCTCACTGCCGGGTCCCTTACAGCACCGTTCCCAGTACCTTGTCTCAACTTTCTCCGGAATCCATGTTCTCACTTGAAACTGGGACAATTAGGATGCCTCCCCTTTGCTCAGCTGCACCCTTCCCCTTAACAGTAGAGCAACAGCACCACCCTTTGTGGGCTTTTGCCTGATAGAAGGCTTTATCTCAGATAGTGACTGAAGAGGTGGTAATGCTACAAATGGCCTGGGAGAGTGAGGGCGCTGGCACCCCCCAGCTGGGGGTTTCCACCAACTCACCAAACACAGGCAGCTGTTAGCACTTGTTGGAATATGAAGTGAGTTAACCTGGAATCTCATGTCACTTATCAAGACAAGACCGAGAGGTGGGCCGCATCGCCACATCCCTACAATGTTATGCTGCCTTCAAGGGGCCTGTGGGAGTTGAGACTTGCCCCAGACCGGGTGTAAAGTGAAAATTGGGTAAAGGGTAAAGTGAAAATTGGGTAAAGGGTAAAATAGGGTAAAGTGAAAATTGGTCAGGCTTTTTGCACCACTAGCCTCTCTGGCTATCACCTGAGGTTAACGTAGAAGGCTCTTAGGAGCGTGGGCACGTGCCTGATTGTGAACACCTGAATGTGGGTGTGGGCATGCATACCTGTGCACACCTGAGCATAGAGGTCAGGACTACGAGGCAGTCCATGGAAGCATGGCTAGGAGAGGACGAGCTGCGTGACTAGAGAGGCGAGACCAAGGGAGAATGCCAGAGAGCTCAGGGAAAGAGCATGATGATTCACAGAGGGCTGGGGGTCTTAGTTACCTCCCAGCCCTTCTGCCTGCCTGCTTGCCCTATACCAGGGCACACACCCATCTGTTGGTGCCAGACTTGAAGCTTGGGCCTGAGTTTAGCTACATGGTGCTACCTCTATAAAGAGTCCTGACAAGGACCACCTGGCCAGGAGCTGACACACTGATGAACAGGGACCTGAGTTGGAGCCAGATGGTTCTTTCAGTTTTGCCACTATGTAAACAGTGTTGTTGCTATGTATCTGTTGCCCACAACAGCCACTTCTACCCCTTTTTAAGTTTTCGTTTGGAGACCATCTCCTTTAAGGACATTATTTTAACATGAGGTGTGATCTACCAAAGTGAATAAGGCTACAAGAAATCCTATGTAAAAATATACATGTCCATGGACCCCTCCTGAGTCAGCTCATCTTCATTTAGAAAGTTTCAGCTCTCCTGCACTGCTGGTGGGAGTGCAAACTGGTCCAACCACTATGGAGAACTGTGTGGAGATTTCTGGACCTACTAAACATAGAGCTTCCATATGATCCAGCAATTCCATTCCTAGGTATTTACCCAAAGGACACAGAAACATCAATTCCAAAGAGCACCTGCACCCCTGTGTTTATAGCAGCACTGTTTACAATAGCTAAGCTTTGGAAACAGCCCAAATGCCCAAAAATAGATGACTGGATCAAGAAGATGTGGTACATATACACCATGGAATATTACTCAGCATTCAAAAAAGATAAACACATGCAATTTGCAGCAACATGGATGGCGCTGGAAGGGATCATGCTCAGCGAAATAAGCCAAAAAGAAAAAGAAAAATACCGGATGGTCTCACTCGCAGCAGGAATCTAGAAAACCTAAATAAGGGACCAGGAAAATGAATAACTATAAGAAAGTGAAAATCAAAATCAACAAAAAACTATGAACCAGAGACACTATGGGGGGTGGGGGGCAGGGAGGGGAGGGATTGGGGTCAAAATAAGGGGGTTGCAATTGTATGGGGAATATAAAAATAAAATTTATTTAAAAAAAAGTTTTAGTTCTCAAATATTGGTGCAAATGCAGATTATTTTTCGTTGCTGGGTTTTAGACTTTGCTGCTAACTTGGTCTATCATGTTGATTGTGCATAATAGATTCAGATAAAACAAGGCACCTGGATTTCGGGAGGGCTGCAGAAGCAGAACCCTGGCATGTGGGACACAGGCTATTACTGTTTGCTGCACCAGGGGGTTTCCAGGGTGGCTTTGAAGAGGGGACACCCCTCTCCAGAGAGCTTACAAGTTAATTCTTTGTGACTGTTTTTGTTAATAGGTAAATGTAGTGGCAGGAAGGGCCAGAACAGGATCTCTATGATCCAAGTAGACGGGGTAAAGGGAGAGTCCTAGCTCTTGGCAGCTTTTTGCAGGCTTTTATTGGGATTTACCAGGTACACGGCAGGCAGGGGTGCCGGGGTGCCAGGAGGCTGGCAGGCCTCCCAGCCCCCAGCAAGTCTTCACTCTTTCTGGGCTCTCCGGCCTTCTCTGGTGGTCTCTGCTGCTCTTTTGCTCTCTTTAGCTCTCGTTCTCTCTGCTTCTCTTCTCTACTGGCGTCCCCGTGACGCCGCCCTTATAAGCCCAGTCTCTGCCCAGGTGAATCCCATCTACCTATGCCCACACCCTACTCCAGGTGCCCGCCATCAGGCATGCATTCAGGACTGCAGATCTGTCATCTATCCTAATGGCGGGAGGGCAGAAAAGCCTGATACTTTTTCACTTACCCTACAGTAAAATAAGTTAACATTGGGCCTATCTGGGGTATTCAAAAATTCCTTTAAATATAAATACTAACTAGGCTTCAGTTGCTGATAGCATGACAGCTGTAAAAGGGACTGGGTCATTTATGAGGCATTAAAGTCAGGCACGGGCCTTTCCCGCCTCGGGTGGACTAGTGAAACTAAGGAAGTTTCCTACTGTTGGGTGATACTGACCCCACAGGACAAGGGTCTGGTTTGCGCCTGTCATTTGTTGTGTTAAGACCACCTGATGTTGAATTACTATTGAGAAACAACAGAGGAAAAAGCATTGCATCAGACTCCGAAATTGCAAGAAGCTTTATGTCTTCTCTTCTCTATGCCATCTAGCTACTTCCCTCTGCTATGCAACAGTCTTCAAACCACCACCCCTTTATGCCTCACTGCCTAAGTTGTATACACCATTTCTGCTTACATTCCACTGACTGGGATTCAGCAAGGTCTCTCCTAGCTGCAAGGGAGGATGAGGAATTGAGTTTTTATTTCAGCTGAGAGGGAGAGCAGAGGTATGGGGGGAGTGGGCCTAGCAGTCTCTTCCACTCGCCCACTGCAAGGTCTTGTACAGGTGCCACTTTTGTCAGGTCTTCCACTACTCTAATTCTACCTGGGAAGACACTTAATTGCTGATTCCTCTGAAGTCCCACTTTAACTTCTCAATTTTTGCTCTATGGTCACATGACTGATTACATCTCATTCTAAAGTGTAAATCTTGAACCATGAAAATCTTTGGTTTACTTTTGTACATGTGAATGCACATGTTACTTCCGTACTTTATTTTTTAAAAATATTTATTTATTTATGCATACAAGAACTGGGGTACAGGCCAGAAGTGCAGAGGGTGAAAGGATTCACCAGAGACAGAGTAGGGAACAGAACAGGCAGATATACTAAAATAACACTGCTAAGGGGAGCAGCGAGTGAGGCAGGAGAGGTCTGCTGTGCCGTGTGGTTAGCTCCCTGGCCTTGGATCAAACTCGTGCTGCAGTGGCTGCAGACAGCTTTATAGGTTGTGTCTTAACCCTTTGTGTCACCAGGGAGGGCCTGTACTTTAAAAGATGCTACATCTCCTTTTGTGTGCAGAGCCTGGGACATATGTGGCACTTTACAGCCTAAGACCCTTGAACTTCTGATAAAACTAACAAAAGGATCCATAGAATCAAAATGAATCTTATAGGAATCAAAAACTTTCTAGAAAATTCAGTCTTTGGGATGCCATTGACATAGATGCTAAAGATGAATGATGTTGATAATATTAAAAATGCTTCAAGTTAATATATTGCATAATCACAGACAAAATATGAGAAAGTTTCAAACTCAAATGAGAGACAATTTTACAAGCTGTCTGGCCAGCACTCCTCAAAAGTTTATGGTCATGAGGGCCTCCCCGGTGGCGCAGCGGTTGAGCGCTGGGCTGCAAAGCTGCCCGCGGCCTCTGCGGCGCTGGTTCGATCCCCGGCTGCTCCTCGGCCGCCGGAGGAGGGTCCCACATGGCGCGCAGACCTCTCCTGCCGCCCGCTGCTCCCCTCAGCAGTGCACTTCGGTCCTTCTGCCTGCTCTGCTCCCCGCTCTGGCTCTGGTGAATTCTCTCACCCTCCCGCGCTTCTGACTGTACCCAGTGCTTGTATAAATAAATAAATAAATCAATCTTAAAAAAAAAGAATTGTTTAAAAAAAAAAAAAAAGTTTATGGTCATGAAAAACAAAGGAAGACTGAGAAACTGCCCTGACTGAAAGAGATTAGGAAGGCTTGACAAAACGCAGTGGGACATCCTGGGTTGGATCCTAGAACAGAAAAATGGTCATCAATAGAGGGAAAATGGGTGCGGCTTTATATAAACTCTATACTATCTCTGCAACTTTTCTGCAAATTCAACATTATTTCAAAATTGAAAGTTTAAAAAGTACTTGGCATGGACTTTGGCTTACAGTAGAATCTGCAGGTGAAGATTTTGAAATAATTTTTATTGCTAACAAGACCATTTTATACTATAAGGTTATCGGCTGGAAGTATAAATAAAGCTGACATCAGAGTTGTTCTCCATTTACAGAGATGCACCTGTTGTATGTGTTTTTGAGTAGGAAATTGCTGAAACAGTTTTTAAGATTTTGTGTGGACATATAATTTTTTTTTTTTTAAAGATTTATTTATTTATTTATTCAAGCACTGGGTACAGTCAGAAGCGCGGGAGGGTGAGAGAATTCACCAGAGCCAGAGTGGGGAGCAGAACAGGCAGAAGGACCGAAGTACACTGCTGAGGGGAGCAGCGGGTGGCAGGAGAGGTCTGCGTGCCATGTAGGACCCTCCTCCGGTGGCCGGGGAGCAGCCGGGGACCGAACCTGCGCTGCAGAGGCTGTGGGCAGCTTCGCAACCCAGCGCTCAACCACTGCGCCACCGGGGAGGCCCTGGACATATAATTTTTATTGTAAAATACATATATAACATAAAAATCTACCATCCTAGCCATTCTGAGTACATTAATGTCTAGCACACTTGGCTATATGGATTTCTAACTATAGGCAGCTATATTCTTTCCTTTGTAGGATAAGGACCTCTAGTTATATTCTGGCACTGACACAAAAACAAAACTTTTTAAGCAGCAAAACTGAAAAGATTTAATCATCTCTGGTGGCAATATTTCTAGATCTTATCATACTCTAGTTAGTGGCCTTTACAAGATTATACAAAGCATGAATTAACTTCTCCCTTATACTTCACCGTCGTCATTATGAAGATCAGTTATTCATTGTGACTGAGACCATCCAGTCTCTTGAGTTTTGGTGTTTGCATTTTAATCTTCCCTGCATCCCTGGGCTCAGAACAGCCCATCCCTCTGGGAGCCTGCTGAAGCACCCTTGCGGATGTGTTAAGGCTAGAAAGCTTGTTTAGGTTGTGTAAAATAAGAACAAATGATCTTGTTAGAGCTTGAAGCTTGGACATCTGTTTTGGCTATTCAGAGGCCCTCTTCCTTCCTTCGTACCTCTGTGCTGGGTTACTAGTAACTGCGGTACCCAGTAAGTAAACCCCAGAGGGCCAAGACGCCATTGTATATTATTCTTATTTCGTCTCTGGAAGGATTAAGGAAGGGAAATAGAGATTATCTCCTGGATATTTTTTCCGGAGGGACCTAATCTATCTCCTTGGTAGGCCAAGGCCTAGCTGAGAACATCAGGATAACACATCCCAATAGCACAGCTGACACGTTTTGCATGTGTTTTAATAGTCTACTCTAAATTGCTTGTGCAGAAGGGGAACAAAAAAAAAAAAAAAAACCCAAAACTAACACTTATAGAAGGATTACAATGTGCTACATGCCTTGTATACTTTATTTCCTTTAACCAAACACTGTGAGGTATTATTTTATAGATGAGGACTGAGGTGAAGTAACTGACCAAACCTCTCACAACAACTAAGTGACAGAAACTAGTATCCCTCAAACAAATTCTCTCAATTTTTTTCCACTTTGTGTTAAAAAAAAATCACAATATCAGTTTGTGTTTAAGATAACAAGTCAGACTATCCAGATGTGTTCAGGTCTCCTTCTCTAGTTCAACTCTACCTTTGAGGGATCACATTCTATTAGTTGAGGTGGTATCCTGCCCCTACTTTCTCCATACCCATAGAACCATGTATACATAAAGACTTCCTTATTTTCCCCAAAGGTAAGATGACTCTATTAATATGATGTAACTTTTATTACTACATTCATATTGACTTGTTCTAAACAGCTAAGTCCACACAGCTAATCGTAACTGATTATTTTTAAATTTTTATTTATTTTATTTTTACACAGTTGTTCATTTTTGTATAATGTTTGATTTTTTCCCCTCAGGTGTAATTCCCCATAAAATTCCTACCCCCAAATCAGTCATGAACTGTCACTATAGTCTCCGTGCTCTTTCCTCCTCCCTTTAAACACGCTCCCTCTTCCTCCCCTGTGGTGTGTCTCAGTTCTATAGTTCGCCTGCAAATGTTTGTCTTTTTATTTTCCTGGCCCCTTTTTCGGTTTCCCTATATTCCTCCTCTAAATGAAACCATTCAATATTTTTCTTTTTCCTTCTGGCTTATTTCACTGAGCATGATCCCTTCCAGCCCCATCCATGCTGCAAATGGCATAAGTTTATCTTTTTTGATTGCTGAGTAATATTTCATTGTGTATATATACCACATCTTCTTGATCCAGTCATCTGTTTTGGAGCATTTAGGTTGTCTCTATATTTTAGCTATTGTAAATAGTGCTACAATAAGCATAGGAATGCAGGTTTCCTTTTGAATTAATTTTTTTTGGTCTTTTGGATAGATTCCTAGGAATGGAATTTCTGGGTCATATGGTAGATCCACTTTTAGTAACTTGAGGGTCCTCCACACAGCTTTCCACATGATACGTTCTATATTACTAACAAACTAATTTATTCAACATTTCCTAATAGAAATTCAAATTTCTTTTAGGTTTTTACAGTACAAATAAAACTGCAGTCAGCTTTCCTGACTATATATTCTTACAACCTAGAAATTAATTTCCATGGGATAAATGAGCAAAAGTGTTATCACTGAATATAACCTCTCTTCCTTATTTAACTTATAGCAGATTGTGTTCATATTTATAGACACAATTTCAGAGTTTTCTCATCCCCTTACCAGCATAAACTATCATAAATCTATAATTTTTTGCCCATTTGGTGGCTGAAAAAAATTGTATTTCAATCCATTTCTCTGATTACTTGTAACATTTATGATTGTGCTTTTCTGTTGTCAAATTTTGACTTATAAAGAGTGATGGAGGCCTCCCTCAACCTCCCAGCAGGTTGAGCATAGCGCTGTGAAGCTGTCTGCACCCTCTGCAGTGCGGGCTCAATTCCAGGGCAGCCAGGGAGATTCCCACATGCCACGGCAGACCTCTCCTGTCGTGCCTGCTGCTCTCCTCAGCAGTGCTTTCAGTCCATCTGCCTATCCTGCTCCCCACTCTGTCTCTGGTGAATCCTCTCACCCTTCCGTGCCTCTGGCCTACACCCCAGCTATTGTATAAACAAAAAAATAAATCTTTAACAAAAAAAGAGTGATGGAGGCGGTCAAGTAATAGACTCTTCTCTAACGCCTGGTAAAGCCATCCCTACTGGACAGACAAGATTCTGTTAGACCCTGGGCAATGTGAGCTTTAGTTAGCTGGCAGGGCCTATATTGGGAGGAGTCAGAGAAAGAAAAGAAAAACAACAGGGTTCTGAGTTGTGAACAGTGCAAAACCAGTACATAAATGGGGAGTAGGATAGGATTATTTTTACTTTCAAATTCAGAGACCTTTATCACAACTAGATCTAGAGCTGGGAGTAGGGAACCCTGGTTGGATGCCTCTTCCCCAACTTCTGCCTCACCTGCAAGGTAAACAAAGAAGGAATAGGAAATGACAGAGAGAAACTGAATTTCCTTCCTCACCTGCAAGGTTAACAAAGAAGGAACAGGAAATGACAGAGAGAAACCGAATTTCCTTCCGTGAGGGCCATGCTCAGTGAGGGAGGGCTCTCTCCTGGCAGAAGCGCAGAGGGCAGGCAGGGTGGTGCCTCACAGCACCATCCATCCTCTCAAGTGGAATAAAATCCTGGGACAAGCCTGCACTACTGCAGCGTGATCACTTCTTCAGCTGGAGGCAGATCTCTGGATGCGTCACAGACACTCTCCAAACCTTCCTGTTTTGACAAAATGAGAGAGAGATTTAGAATTTGTGATACATAAGGCCAAGTCCACCTCTAAGATTTTATCATTCTAATTATATTTTATTTTTTTATTAAAATTATAAAATATTGATAATTTTTCATTAGTTTTGTCTCACCTTCAATTGGTCCATGATGAAATAGCGAGAGCATAAATTTGGAGTCAAATCTTGGGTTCAAGCCCCAACTTGCAAGCCATGGAATCCTAGACAAGCCCTTTGATTCCTCTGCGCCTATTTCCTCATCTATAAAACCGACAAAATAATCCTTGCAGGGCCTTGGCCAGACTCAGGTGGGGTGATGTCTGTAAACAAACACAGTGTAGTATTCCCAGGAAATCTGAGCCACTCATTTCCATTTCTTCACTCAACTTAAACATCCCTAATCAAATACTTAGATCACCTCCTGTTTTAGGCATTAGAGATACCTTAGTGGTCACTGACATCATGGGACTTGGACTTGAAAATGGGCATTTACCATCTGAACCTGGTAAGAAACTGGGATAAATATTTTAGAACGATACATAAAAGGCAAATGAGCTGTGGTCAGTTTTCTAGAGATAGGAATTTAATAAATATTTGTGGAGCTCCTCCCATGGCCCCACATATGAGGGACCAGGCAATGCTTTAGGTTTTGGGGGAGTCCGCACTGAGTACCTTACATTCTAACAGGGACATTGAAACAGACTATTACTAATTATATATAGAAGACACAGCCAAAGAAAAGTATAAGGGCGATGTGAGAGGAATGAAACATGGTTCTGGACCTGGAGTTTTCAGCCTCTTCTCTTGCCAAGACTCAGTTCCCCTTTAACAGAACTGAAGGCATTAGAAACTGTGACTTCACTCTCCTTGCGCCTCATTCTCATTCCAATTACTCAGTTTGGAAAAAGTTAACAGCCTTTACTAAGTAGCAGAGTGTTTGGGCAGAGTTGGAAAATTGCTGCTAATTTTCAACGTGGTCAGTTGTTTGGCTTAGAGTTTCAAACAGCCTGGATATTTTCTGCATGGCTCTGACTGAGCTTTCCCCTTTTCTCAAGTTTCTTCGAATCTACCTGTGTCTCACTGAACATTAAGCCACCTGATGCCAGTAATGGGCTGCCAGCCTCCACCTAACCTCTGCATTCAGCAGTATGTTAACAACTGGGGGCTGTTTTGTATGAGGCGCTGAGCTAAGTCTTTGCTTCCTGGCATTTACAATCACTTGGGAAACAGAAATGCAAGTCACTCTAATAAGACAGCATGAGTAGCTGCCATTTGATCAAATGAGGTAGAAGAGCTCCAAAGAGGGGGAAAAGCACTTCTGACCGGAGTCACCAGGCGAAAGAAAGATGCAGCTCTTTTGAGAGCCTGTTTTGTGCACAGCACAGTACTGGATATTTTACGTACATCCTCTCACTTGACACGGGGAGCTTCATGAAGGACTTGGAGTCCAAGACCTTGAGTGATGGGAAGAAGGAGGAAAGGCCGACCTGAGTTTCAACCAAATATTTACTGACTGCCCAACCCTCGTTCCTCTGTCTCTGCGGCACCATACCCCGGTTTGCAGATGGGGCTTAGAATAGGGTGGGGAGTAGGGTTAATGAGAAATGGTCGCATTCTTTGACAGTGACAGAGGTAAGCGGCAGGCTTCTCAGCAGCTCTAGTGGAAGGAAGGTGAGACTCTGGTCCTGCTGGGACTATTTAGCATTCCCTGAAACTCTTGTCCAGGGAAGGGACACCATGATTAACAAACTGGGTTTATGCCCCTGTCACTGTTGGTGGGTAGATTCTAATCAGAAGAAAGAGAGAGGAAGTACATACTAGGTCACCCAAACCAACGGGCTCCTGCGAGCAGGCCCCTGCAGGGAATACCGCAGTCCTGGAGAACAGCAGGAGCACAGAGGGAGGAGTGTGCACAAGGAGTTCTGGGGATGGTGGCAGGCTGTTTGGCTGCAGGGCTTTGCTTTGGATGCAGAGCTCTGAACTTTGAGGTCGAAGAATGCTACACCAGCCTGATGAGAGCACGATGACAGCTTTGCTCAGAATCTTTCCAATTCTCCTGAAAACCATCCAGAGCAACAAGGGATGAAACACCTACATCTTAGTATCTGGTGAAGTGAGGAGGTGAGAGTTCACAATTTTATACCATGTGTAGTGTCACCCCCGAACCTGCACAGTAAACCACTACATGCAGCTTACCAGGTGCCACAGAAGACCAGAAACTGCACAAGCGTCCAGGTAGTGCGTTCCCAGCAACCCTGGAGGAAACTCAAGCCCAGAAGGAGAGGACTCAACCTGGGTGGGAGGGGCTGTAACTAAGAAGGAAGACGGCAGGAACACCAGGAAAGGAAGAAATAAATCGCACAAGTGCCTGGAGGACTCACTGTGCATCTCAGGAAAGAGAGAGGCACTCATGGGCAGGAAGGGGAGGGAAGCCTTGGAATCAGGCTAGGACGAAGCAGAGACGCTCTGGACTAGTTGTAGGAACCCACCTGAGCCAGGTTAGGATCTTAATTCAGGGGGAGCCTGGCCACACCGAGGCGCCAAACAGAAAAGAAAATGTACATCATACTAACAGAGGAGGGCGCCCTTGAGCTGAGCAATGAGGGAAGTTTTACCAGGGAGAGTTTCCGCACTCCTGACACAGGATTCTCTCGCCAATAGTTGGTTGAGAAATATCCAACTCATTAAAAAATAAATGATGAAAGTTGTAACAACATCTAATCAAAGGCACCATAAGAGAAACATCCAAACGAAGGTACTCACAGAAAAAAATTCTGAAAAGGAGTAGCAAAATTTCCCCGAAGGCTAAGAAAACTAACCAGAAAAATGTTGCTACAAAGCAGAAGAAAATTTTAACTCAGTAGGTTATTATGAGTTGAAAGTCTGGTATGGAGGCAGGGGGAGCTATGCGGGAACATGCAAAGCAGAAATAAAGAACTCAAGAAAGGGATGATCAGGCCACAGGGGGCGACAGGAAACAGGAACACTTAGACTCAGAAAATAAGTGTGAAGAAGTACAAACATTTCAGAACGAAAACCAAATTATGAGACACACAGAAGAGACATCACTCCGGGACCCGGTGGAAGGCATACAGAATACAAATGAAAGTGGAGATAAAATAGAAATAAATAAAAATCATTAGAGAGGAAGTGAGAGAAGGCAAGCAAAGGAAATTGCACAAATGTAGAGTTCCTCAAGAAAAAGCCCAAACAATGGAACAGAACACATTTTTAAATACAGCTTAATTTTAAATAGGGATTGCAGGGAGCTTGGCTTGGATGGAAGGCCTAAATTTAGGAACTGGGGGGAGAGCAAGGTCTGGAAGACATCTGCAAGGGAACTGGGATCAGGTCAGGGGTTCTTTGTCCTCAGGACCCTCTTCCCTGCTCCTGCATTGTGGTAGCCACCTGAGAGGGGCGCAGGTGAGGGGACCAGCAGCCCTGCTCCCTCAGTCTGCACGACCTACAGAAGTGGAGGGCAGGGGCAGAGTAAATGAAATAAATATTCCCAAATACTACTAAAGCTCCTTAGATGCAAGTTAGCAGAGGAAAAAAAAAGTATAGAGATTTATAATTATGTCTCCATCACCCAACTTTATAAAACTTTAACATTTTACAGTATTTGAATTTCAGCTATTTTTAAGGAAATATTGCCTTATTGATACATATTGCCCATTGTGACCCCCTCTAATACCATTCATCTTCCTGGCCCCCTCCCAGATAGCACTATCCTGAAGTTGATGGTTATCTTTGCAAAGGCTATCTTTTATGCTATTTCTACATACATATGTAACCATAACTATATGTACTATTTGTTTCACATACTTTCAAGCTTTATATAAATGGTATCATGCTGAATGTTTCCATTTACAATTAGTCCTTTTCTTTGGTGAACATTGTTTTTTACATTTATCCTTATTGATACACATGGCTCTATTTCCTCCTTAAGTGCCACACAGTAATGTATACATAATATATATCACAGAGTATTTACCAATTGTTTTGTTGGCAAACCTTTGGAAAGGGGTTTGACAGACTTTTAAAAAACTAAAACTAAAACATATGTCTACTTTATGACCCAGCAATTCTATTCGTAGGTACAATGCAAAATAAATGAATATAGTTGATCCTTGAACAACTTGGGTTTGAACTGTGCAGGTAGGTCCTGTAGATTTTTCTGAGGATTCTGTATTCATGGATTCAGTTAACTATAGATGTTGTCTAGCTGAATTCAGGGATGCAAAAACCACATATATGGAAGGCTAACTGTAAGTCACATTAAGATTTTTCTTTTTAATAGAGGCATGTTTTATTTATTTATTTGTTTGTTTATTTTGTTTATACATGCACTGGGTACAGTCAGAAGCGTGGAAGGGTGAGAGAATTCACCAGAGCCAGAGCAGGGAGCAGAGCAGGCAGAAGGACCGAAGTACACTGCTGAGGGGAGCAGCGGGCGGCAGGAGAGGTCTGCGCGCCATGTGGGACCCTCCTCCCATGGCCGGGGAGCAGCCGGGGATCGAACTGGCGCTGCAGAGGCTGCGGGCAGCTTCGCAACCCAGCGCTCAACCCTGCGCCACCGGGGAGGCACAGATTTTTTATTACACAGAGGTCGATATATTTAACTTCTGTGTTCAAGTGTCAAATGTGTGTCCACACACACACACACATCTTTTTGTGGACATAGAAGAATGTTCATAGCACCTTTATTCGTAATAGCTAAAAACTAACATCCAATGACAATAAAAAGGAACAAGTACTGGTACATGCAAAAGTATGGATGAATGTCAAAAACTTGTTAAATGAAAGAAGCCAGACACCGAGTATGTATGTATGATTCCATTCATATGTATATCGAAACACAACATTCTAGTATAGGACTGGTAAAAGCAATCCATGGTGGAAAAAAATCACAACAGTGTCTATAAAGGTAGGATTGGGGAATTAATAGGGAAAGGAAACTTTCTGGGGATGGCAATAATAACTTGAAAGGAGTTTAGGTTACACAAATACACTCATTAACTGTGTATAGTTAAGATTTGTACTTTTTATTGAATTTTTACCTCAAAAGGAAAAAATATTGACTTCTGTCAATATTATGCATGTTAAAGTATTAAAGAAGGGGTGTACTGATATCTCCATTTTTTTATTTTTTGGAAAGAGCAAAAAATAAGATGGAATGATGGAGAGATATATGATAAAGTAAGAATAGTAAAATGTAGATGGAATTTAGGTGGTATATGCTGATTTTAATATCCTTTCAATTTTGCTGAATGTTTAAAAATTTCAAAATAAATGTAGAGGAAAATTTTTAACATTTAAC